GGGGCAGGCACTGCCCAGCTGGAGGGGTGGGGGCATGGGGTGGAGACATGACTCATAGGGTGGGGGCAGCTCCTGCTGCTGCCTGTACCTGGGAGGGCGGGTGCAGGGGGGGCGTGTGCCCCAGGATCTGTGCGGTGGGCTGCCAGGGGGAGCTGGAGCCAGCACTATGCAGGGCTTTTCTTCCTGGGAGCTGGGCTCGGAGCAGGTGCCAGCAGCACTGGGAGGTGGCTGCAGCCGCTCCACGTTTCACCACAGCTCTGCTCCCAGCCCCATGCCACTGCTTGGTGCAGGCCCGGCTTTTCCCAGCGCTTGGGTGGAGGTGGGGCGTTCAGCAAGGGCTGTGCTGGGCAGCGGCATGGAGCTGGAAGCGGAGCTGTGGCGAAATGTGGAGTGGCGGCAGCCTCCTCCCAGTGCTGCCAGAGCCTGCTCTGAGCCCCTCTGCTCTGAAGCCCTCAGCAAGAATAGCCCCATGCAGCGCTGGCTCCAGCTCCACTCCATAGCTGCAGCCCACCCTGCACTGCGCAGATCTGAGGGCACACGCCCCCCATCCCTGCCCTCCTGAGTGCAAGCAGTGGTGGAAGCTGCCCCCACCCCACGAGTTTCATCTCCGTCCTATGCCCTCCCACCCCGGCTGGGCAGTGTCTCCTCCTGCTCCCTCCCTCACGACACGGGCGTTGATCTGCCCTCCCCACCCAGCCATAGTGCTTCTGAGTGGTTGAAGTTTGAGTATTTTCTACCCATGACTCTCTTTTATTGGCCAGACTCCTTAACAGACATCGCTCATTTTGTAACACAGTCATCTTTATGGACTGAGCTGCCACAGTGCATCGTGGGAATTATCATGACTATGTTGATGAGCAGTAAAAATTACAATTATCAAACAGTTCTGCTGTGTAGTCTTAATTTTTCCTGGCCATTCATTTCAATTCTCTCTAACAATTACCCACTCTCATCTGATTGCCCTCCCCTGGGTCTCTGCTGCAGGACGTGGGGAAGCAAAGGCAGCTCACTGACAAAACCTGCCTGAAATAAGTGCTGCAATGTTACATCCTCCTGGCCTAAGCTACCCCACTAGGATCTGAGCCCCATGGCACAGTGGGTTATGTGGGCACCTGGTGCTGCTTCCACTCACTCTCTAGGCTGACTCTCCACAACTGGAATCCTGCAAGCAGCTCTGCACCAGCAGAATAAATGGACTACATTTAAGGCAATACACAGTCCACCTGACTGACCACAAGAGAAAGAGTGCTCAAGTTCAGTCACTTAAACAGATTGACAACCAGATCTTTACTATTATATTTCTTTTGGTCGCTATAATCAAGTTGTCTAAACATCTGTTTTCCCACAATGCTCACATGCTCTTCAAACTAATAATCATCCAAGTCTTGTAGTTATGCAACAAAACACTATCAGCTCACAGTGTAGCTCAAAGGCATGATTTTCAGTGCTGCTGAGTACCTATACAACTCCCATTGACTTCAAATGAGACTGCAAAGGCATCACATGAGATTTCAAATGAGATTTCAGTGCATCTGATAACCTGGCCTTTAAATGTCCTGATTGTGTTGATCTAGCAGCATTCATATGAAGCCAAGAACCTAGGGGAAATCTGTAGCTGCTGTAAACTGGTGAGGCTTGACTGAAGTCAATAGAACTATGTTGATTTATACAAGGTGACTATGTCAAGCCAAATTCCTTTCTGCCTCTGTGGGTTCAACTCCAGGCCAACCGTTTCCTGTAAGTTGTTTGATGCGGTGGTGAGTAATAATGTGTAGCAATTTATATCAGCTAAAAATATGCAATCTTCAGGCCTACACCTCTAAGATAAAACATTTTGAAAAATGTTAGCTTTTTCAACAGCTAACACAATGATCTGTACCTTATGTGGGTGTCAGGACAGTGATGTGTGACTGAACACACATCTCACAATCTCCTCAAAAAGGGGCTAGGAGAATATCTATTTATTTTGTTACTTTAGAAGTCCCACCCCAGAGAAAAAGCCCAAATGTGTCTACTGTTGTTTCATGGTATGTATGTGTACACTGCTTAGTATAGTGAAGCTCTGATCTCTGTTATTACATGTAGGCGTTACAGGAATATAGATGTAAACTTTCTTATCATGTTTGAATACAATTAGAAAAGGCAAAAGCCCAAAGAACACTCCAACATGCCATGGAAGAAGACAGGCTTTGGCATGCAATGCACAGGCAGGCACATGCTTTGGAAAAGAATGCATCCTCACAATGAAAAAGTACATGTTAACCCAGTTCTGGCTATTCACCATGAGGGAATACTGCAGTGGCTACATCTGCAGGAGATACCCTTGTCTGTACACAGGTGCACTGCCTTCAAAAACCTTTCTGTTTGTGTTGGGGGTGATAGCTGATGAGGGAATAGTAGGGCTAAATGTATAGGATATGAAAACACAAATAATGATGAAAGTTATTTCCTTACTTGCTGCTTTATGTATAGGTATTAAAAACATTTTACTGTAGTTTCCGAGTCAGAACCTCAGCTGTAGCAAGAACTATTCTGGTTTACAACCACTGACGATCTAGTCCTCTATATGCCGTGGGTGTTACATTTAACAAGACATTTCCACTACCTGATTATTTGGCATTGGTATGTCAAGCAAGGTAGAAAACAAGGCCTTGCCTTTCAAAATATTTCTTAAAATAAACCAACTGGTGCCCATCATATTCAAACCTCTGGTTTTCTTTGTTTTATAAATACCCTGGGAACTCTTTACACCATTTCATTGGGTTAGATAATTGTAATGTTCACGAAGGAGCCTATATCTTTGAGTGCCTAAATTATTTTTAAAAATGGTTTTGAAGTGACTTAGACTCCTCAGTTAACCCCTTCTGGAAAATTTTACCACAAGTGATTAGTGACCAAATGTTATTTTATTTAGGCAAATACAGTAATTCAAGTTGAATAAGAAATTTAATTAAACTTTCAGCTTAAAGTCAGCTTTGTATAATCCATGATAATAGTTAGCCATCATACAGTACAAGAGGATGTGTGGATTATGACAACTGAATACTTATAATTAATACTCCTTTAGTAAAAATGTCTGCACAAGCTGTTTTACTCAATGGGAAATGAAGTACGTATACTTACATTTCATCATCATATTCCTTTGGAGGAGATGCTGCAATGACTAAGTCAATCCAGTCCTGCATAGGGAATGCATTGTTGTTAGAAGAGGCGTAAGAAGCCAGAAAATGTAACAGCGTCTTGTAACAGGGACCTTTAAAAGGAGTGCTTTTACTAGGCAGTTTTAACTAAATTAAGGACAAACATAAGGGGGAAAACTCTGCTGTCATAGGTGGAGTCAGTGAGCCAGAAATATAACGGAAGGATACCCTATGTGATAGGAAATTAGAGAAAAGGCTGCTGTATCACCATGGTAATCCTTTATGGAAAGTCATAGAGGGATCTAGTGCTGAAAGAGCACAGGGAGGAAGATGGGCAGCAAGCTGGAGGTTTTATAAGAACTAGTTTAGTAACAAGGCCATTAATTTTAAATTTCATACTTAAATGGGGTGGACCTGTGGTGACCCTTAAGGTCTCTTCCAAGTCTCTCAATCTATAAAAAAAAATCAGTACTTCGGAACAAGCCCTTTGAGCATCTTCCACATCTTTGACTTGATAAAATTTCCATTTAGAAGATGTTCATTATAGACAAAATGTGAAGTAGTTTGGGCATCTTTACTAAGGATCAGATAAATTAAGATGCTATAAGAAATTTCCTGACAATTCCCAAATCTTCTTCACTGTTGTCATCACAGAAAATATACTGAGGATGGAACGCATTAAAAACATCCACAGGACTGCTGAATGTCTTTCAAGGGATGCAGGTGATGGGAAATACCTACTTACTTACCCCACCCATGTTCCATGCTCTCGATAGAGTTGTCTGTGCTTCTGCCAGTTTAGCATCAACTAAAATCTTTCCATTTACTGCCATTATTTCATCCCCTTTCACTATGCCGCCTGGTGAAAGAAAGGCCTAGCTTAACATTTCATGTAAGCAAAATCACTTCGGTCAGTTTCCTCTCCAAAAGAGGCAAACCTATGCAGGTTCAAAACTTATCCATATGGAAAATCATCTGATACCTTAACTAGATGCCTCAGTTTGTATTTCAGTTATGTAGATAGGAAGGTTTCTTGTAGACAAAAGCTAACAAAAAGTTTGGGTGCCAGGGCAGTGATTACAAAATCTCCTGTTACCAATGGTCAAATAAAGGCTGTTCAGTCTGCTATAATGGACATTAAAATGTAATAACTGAGGAGGAGATCTTCAGGGGAGCAAATGGCACAAGGTGACTTAGGGAATCTGTCCATAATATCAATTGTTGATATTAGGAGTTGTTACTCTGAAAACAGCAGTATCACTGAATGTCTCTATGCATGTGTGTCATCCACTATGATTTGACAGGGCTGCATCATGTCACTTTGGGAGCAAGGACAAAGTTAGGTGGTTACATCTCAACAGTGCTTATTCAGGGTGAAGCATGTGGGAACAATGGGCTTGAGTTTGGAATGTGTAAAGTTAACAAAACACAAAACAATGACATCATGAAGTTGGCCTTTAAATATTACTCGCATACAGGGATGACTCTGGGGGAAAAAAGCTGATAGGTTTTGGAACAAAAGGTGGCATCTAACCATGTTTTCATAGCAGGGATTCCTGCCTTTCAGCTGCAGAACCAATCAATGTCAAATCGGGCAAACTGTTAGCTTGTGACCTGAATGCTGATGGAACCTTGCCCTCTTAAAATTTCCCAAGGAAAGGCTAAACCAGGGAGAGATGCATTGTATTCAGGAAGCTTGTTATTCTTCAAATGATGCATAATCTCTTGTACATGGTTTCATAAGCAAAACAGGTCCTTACACCCACTCTGAGTGCTGCTTAAGTTACTGCAGGATCAGGACAACCCATGGCAACCAGACAGTGAGGTACAAATGGAGAAGACAACTTACTGTCATCTCTGAATTACCCTGTGAGGCCAGCATATGGAATGCTTGTAGAGCTGAGTTCAAGTTCCCCCACAATTACTCACCATGTTTGTCTGCAGCACCACCCTCATAGATAGCAGAGACAACTATTTTCCCAATTGGAGAATCAATTCCTCCCTCTACTGCAAGGTCTAATGCCCCTTCCTGTTAAAAGGGGGAAAAACCTAGTTTAGAAGAGACCATTGACAACCACTGGAATAGGAGCCAGTCTGCCATCTTTCTAGTAAATATAAATAATATGAGTAGTAATAGCCCTTTGGCATAGTCTAGACAAGAGATGGCCACCATGTGGCATGTATACTACAAGTGGCATGGGAAGTCTGTGTGTGGGGCACACAACAGACAGAGGGGGGGATAGGAAGCACAGTGGCAGACAGGGCAAGCAGCAGAGAGCAGAGTAGTGGATTCAGTAGGAAGCAGAAAACAGAGAATTAGATTAGTCAAGGAAAGGGGACTGGGCAGGAGAAGGCACTTAGAGAGGGTGCAGGGCTAATTTGTGGAACACCTGCCAAAAAGGTTGGCCATTGACTGGTCTAGATTATTATCAATGGCCAGTTTTCAAAATGTAGTTCCTCATTTTATTTAAAAGATACAGGTCCAAGAAAGACTAGTATACCGACATAAATTAAACATTAACAGTAATAGAAACAGTAATAAAAACAAAATATTACCACATTAATTACAATTTTAACCAATAAACAGCATCATTCTTTATTGGAAAAAGAAGAAAATCAGAAAGGAAAATAGCCTCTCTAAATTATATTTGCAATTACCCTATGGCCATCAATAATCAGATTAATTTAAACCTGATGTTACAATGAATGATATATTCTGACATATTTTTGTCAGCATCAAAATATCAGGATGATTTTTGCTTACTATATAAAGAGCCATTTCTGAATTGGGGAGAAGAAGCAGCTGTGTGGAAGATGCTGTTATATACTGATTCATACATGTGAAAAGGCCACCTTTACCCAAAAGTCTTAAGTCTTATAATTAGTGTCCAGACATTCTCATTAATGCCTGCTGCACTGAAAATTGTTTTCACTCGATAGCAATTTTCCTGATGAGATTGGAAATCTCAAGAAATGAGACAGGTATTTCAATTAAGGCTAGCTGAACTGTGAAATTTCCATTCCGCTGGATTTTGCTTTTGCTAGAAACAAAATAAAACAAGATATTTTCATTGACTGTAACACAGACATTTTGAAAATATTTTGAAATTCTTAGTAGGAAATTTTGTAATAATCAAATATTGTTTCGTTTAAATTTTCTTTTTTAAAAAACTGACAATTTTAGAGAGAGTATGATCTGGACAAAAATTTTCAAACCAGCTCTGTTTTAGAGGTGCACCGATACATCAGTCCCAAAGCATATTGGCACTGATATACAGAAAATTGACATTATTGGCAATAAGCATTTTTGGCTGATGTGGGTGATAACGTTGCCAATAAATACCCTGTGCATGTGCACAGCCACAGCGCAGCACACAGGCAGTCACGACCACAGCTGAGCAGCGTGGAGAGCACTGTCAGGCTGGTAAGTCTGTTGTGGGGGAAGGGACGGAGAGAAGGAAGGGGCGCTGGAGGGGGGCAAATCGAGACCCCTGCCATGAGGGAGGGAGTGGGGCAGAGGCAGGTGCTGCACAGCTTGCCCAGGCAGGGCAGGGCACAGGATGGAGCCATGAGCGGCTCATCAGGGGCATGGCTTCTGTCACTGCACACACCCTGGGAGGGCATGGGGGAGAGCATGTGATCCTGGATCTGTGTGCAGGGCAAGGGTGGGTTGCTACTTCTGGGCTGGGGCTGGGGATGGCACTGGGCTCTTCCTGGCAGGAGGGTTGGGCTGGGGCTGGGTATAGGAAAGAGTCCAGTGCCACCCCAGCCCAGCCCTCAGCAACAACAGCAACAGCCTGCCCTCACCCCTTGCACAGATCCAGGGGGGAACATGCCAGCCATGCCCTTCCAGGGTGGGCTTAGCAGTGGGATCCACCTTGCCTCCCCATTCCCCTAGATGAGCTGCAGCCCATGCCCCACCCCCTGCCCTGCCTCAGTTGTGCAGTGACTGCCTCTGACCCAGCCACATTTCCTCCTCACTGCTGGGCCAGGTTGTGGAACAATCTTCACAGTGCAGGAGGGAGTGGGGCAGGGGCAGAGGTGAATGATATATCCCTGCCCTACTCTCTCCTGCACTGTGGCGGTCTCAACTGCCCCCCTCGCCCAGTCACACAGAAAGTGAAGAAGGGAGTGGGGTTGGGGCAAGGGTAGGTGCTGCACAGCCAGAGTGGGGCATGGGACTGAGCTGCACTGAGGGGTGGTGGCTCCCACCATTATGTGCACCCCCAGGAGGGCATGGGGATGTGTTCCCGGATCTGTGCGGGTGGAGGGATAGGTTGAGGTTGCAGGCTGTGGCCAGGGTTGTGCCGGGTTCTTCCCAGCAGGGGCTGGGCTGGGCTGTGCTTGGGGCGGGTGGAGGTGGTACTGGGAGTGGGGCTATGGGGGGTCTGCAGCCACCCCAACATTTGCTGTAGCCCCCCAACCCCCTTCTAGAACAGCTCAGCCCAACACCCTTGCTGGGAACAGCCCAACGCTGCCCTGGTCCCAGCTCACAGTGGCCCATATCCCACCCTTCCCCATGTGCTAATCCAGGGGCACGTGCCTCCATGCCCTCCTGGGGGTGCATGTAGCAGCAGCGCTGGGAGGAGGGGCCAAACAGGGCAGGGGGCTCGTATGGAGCAGTCACTCCCCCCCTTGGCCGTGCCACTTTCCCATGGCTGGTCACAGCTCTGTGGGCTGCTGATGGGCCTCACGCCTGGCCAATTGTACACTGACAGGGGAAGGCACAAAACACATTCCCACCCCCCTGGCCATTCAGACCCTTGCAGCTCTGCTGTAAGGGGGTATCAGCCAATCAGGACAGTGAGCTGGGACAGGGGGTGGGGAGATGCTGCAGTGTGCTTCATGCAGTGTGCAGGGCTGACACTACCTGGTGCATCCATCCTCCAGATAAGAGGTGAATGCGCCATGGAAGACACCGCTGCCACACCCCGTGGTGCACTCCATCCCCACCCACCTGCCCGCATGTACCCCCTACGATCTTTTTAAGTACCCCTGGGGATACATGTATCCCCGGCTGACAACCCCTGGTATACATATATGACACTCAGCTAACTTAGGGATTCAGAGGGTTACAAGGTAATGACTATAAGTTGAATAACATTCTCCTGACAGAACTAAGCCTTTAGGTTAGGGACAGAAGTTACACATAAACTAGTTTAAGTGATCAGAAACTGGTTTAAACCTGTAAGAGAACAGAAGTTCAGTGCACATAAACCAGTTTCAATGCTGGCTGTAACACTGGACTACAAATCCCAGAAGCAACTGGAAACAGGAAAAGGAAATGATGAGCAACCCTGCAGACTCCTGCTTTTGTGATGCTGGACTGCAAATCCCAGAGACCTCAGGGGCAGCAGGAAGAAGTGCCAGAGAGCCATGCTCTAGCACCCTCCTGGCTTCTGGCCTGAGCCATTGTAGACATGTGGCTGCATTTACTAAATCAAAGGTAAGTGTGTGTCCAGTTGTTTCTCAGTTTAATCTTTCCAGTTTAGACTAACCTGCAAAGGCTGAATCAATTCAGCCGTGGGCCTTTTGACTGTCTGTACCTAGCCTTAAAGTTTGAATGATGATTACACTTTTAGACACCCTCTAATTGATGTGTGGAATTTAAACTGTAGAACTCATGAACCATGGGGTCTAGGAGCAATATGAAAAGCTAGGTCTACTGGGACAGTTGGGGCTTTGGACAGAAAGAGGTGGGGGTGGCAAAGTAGCTGTGGCAAAGAAAGGGTGGGGGGTGGCGGCAAAGAAGAGAAGATGCTGTGGAGCAGTCTAGTGGTGCAGGAGGCCATGGCAGTGTGAAAACAATAATTCTTTACCTTCTCCTAACCTCCTGCAGTCATCTGTCAGAGGGAAATCCAATTGCTGTATTTCAGTTTAGAGAGTGAAATGTAACATGTGAACCATGCACTCAGAAAAAGCCAACAAGACATCATGTTGTCTTGATTTTATGCAGGGTTTACCTTTTTAATACGCAGCAGCCGCACATCTTTTCCCATAACTTGGTCTGGTGAAAACTATCAGAAGATATATCAGTTAGTCACTTCCACTTTTAAAAGGTAGAAGTATAAAACAATTAAGATGATAAATGAAGTTCACAAGAAAACCTCCTTTCAAACAGAACCAGGAGAAAACAGAAATCTAAAGGACCATTTGTTTCAGTAGCAGAACTATCTCTGATCTGAAAGGCAAAGAAAAAAAGTTTCTCCACATCATGTCATTTTAATCTGTGTAGCACATTTAAAACTCTTACCATTGAATAAGGGTCAAAATTTTCAACGTACTTCTGGAAGCCCTGAAAATAAAATAATGCATGTTTGTAGGCAGCTCACAAGGAAACACACATAGACACTCCCCAAACCCCACCATACTTAGAAAAGGTACTGCCCTGTAAACTACAAAAGATGATTATAACATGGAGAAGGACACACACAGGTAAGCAGATAGTCCTCCTGACAGTCAGAAGACACTTAAAAGCCTGAGAATAGGACGACAAATTAGTTGGTAAGGTTACAAGCCACAATCTGAGAGTTCATGAAGATGGGGCACTTTTGGGGCCTAGCAAACACTCTGTACCTCTTATAATCTGGTTGTCTCTCATCAGAATGATAGGCCAATTTCTACCACCTTTACCCTCCAGAAGTAGTAACTTTAATGACATGATTCCCACCATAAGGCACTCTTTGGTCTATGTAAAAGTGGAAGAACTATTCTCCACAACAGTGGCCCACGGTGTATGGGGTTTAACTTTCTGTCTGGCATCATAGCCCAAGTCTCTGGCTCTATTAAAATTGTCTCCAAAATGGAAGGAAGTAGTTGATAATTTTTGGTTTAATTTCAGGAACAGTGTGGGAGGTATGAAGATTTTAGCAGGGAGATGGGTTTGAAATTAGGATGAAGCTGTGGGATTGGGGATGGGTCAGGTTTGGTTGAAAGGAGTGCTGGTATAGTAGTTATATTGAGAAATATTTTTTTAATTTTTAGAGGATTATCTGCCTTTTTAAATTTCAGGGCCAAACCTATCTATCTCGGCCACATCACAAGGGAGGGAATATGACAACCTAACCCTTCTCTGTGGGGAGAGGTCTGCAGGGAACCAGTCAGAAATCAGTGGACAGGCAGATTCTGGTTTGTGACTACCTAACCTTGGGAGGGTGGGACCTCTTCTGGGACCTACAGGCTGAGCCAGGATGGGTACCTTTGTGATTTATGAAAGTTTGGCATGGATTCTGTGTGGAACGCAGCAACGTTGTTGTATTGGTGACTTTGTGGCATGGAGAAAGTCTTGCTCATATACCCAGCAAATGCAGCTGTACCAATTCCAGCTGCCATTGTTTGGGGATATGGAGACATAAAGGTAGGAGGACTGATTGTGAAAGGGAAAGTCTATCAATTAGCATCTGTCTAGCATCTGTTAATAAAGTGCACAGCATCAGGTTCCTATCTTACCCCAGGCTGCTGTTAAATGACCAAGTGGCAGTAGTAATCAACTGTGCCTCCTCCTCATCCCTTCCCCCTCCACCTACTCAATGCCAGTGTGATCTTTCCTTGGGACATAGACTTCACCACTTGCCAGCTCTATCTTTATTGTGACCAATGTGTGTTGCTGCTAGGCACTATGTTTACAGCTACATTTTGAAGAATGCTTAAAAGTCTGCTACTGCAGAGCATGGCTATCTACTTTTTTGGCAGTCTTCTACCCAGAGCCCATGACAGCTGTACTTTTGACCCTGCCATGGTTTCTGGTCTGTGAAAATCAAAGTGTTCATCCAAAAACACTCTAGGAGGCACCTGTGGATTTGACTTTCTTAAGAAACTGTTTCTCTCACCATGTTCCCTTTTGTCAGATGAAGGATCAGTAGAACAGTTTACAGTACATAACCAGAATTCAACATCTGGGAGCTGAGGGAACAGCATTTACAGCAGGGGGCACTACATCTTGTTCCCAGTGATCTGCTGGCCCGAGCTAAACCTTCAACACAGCTAGCAAGGCTTGTCTGTTACCACAGAATTTCCCTGACAGGGTGATACTTAGGGGTTAAGGCTCTTTTTAGTGACAGGGCTATAGGGAGACATTACTAAATCTTTTAATAGGTGCTGAGTGAGCTTGCCAGTTGTGGAACTTAATGAACCAAAAGTTTAGGATGATATCCCATCTCCATCCCAAGTCCTGGGAGTTTTACCACCGATTCTGATAAGGCCAGGATTTCACTCCTAAAACTATATTCATGCACTTAGAAGGCCCATTAAATACGTAGTACAGCTAAAATATGGAAGCACTATGAATATCCTTCCATTAAGTTATACAGATATATTGTACAATGAAAGTGGAAATTAATGGATTCAGGTAAACAGCGGATGGTTAAGTAGTTGTGTTAGTTTCACGTGTTTGATCTTGAGAGAGACGGTCGGACCAAACATCTTTGTTGCTGGAACAAACAGCCTGGAGAAAGGAATTCTAATCTGAGCAGAGCCACTGGTTCATTAAGTAACCGAGGGCCAGTCACTCGGCATTGTTTCGTCTCAGGTCCTTTCCTTCATGAAAAAACAGATGTTGGCCCTGATGAAAATATTCTTGGGAAAATGCATTTTAAACAAGAAGGAAAAAACAAAAAGAAAAAAAAGAAATCTTCAAACAAACAAACAAAAAAGAATACAATCTGGATCCAATAAGCTTCTAAATGCCACACTACCATAAGCCGTTTCAAAGAAGTCTTTCCAGGAGGTGTGACACCAGTTACTCTCCGTGGATGGAGGGCTGTGAGCCCTGCGTACTCAGGAGAGGCCTAATAATTCAGTCAAATTAAAATCAAAGCCACAGTCACAATCCTGCCCTCCAGTTATAGAACTATATCTGTGGAAAGAATGTCACTGACTGCCAAAAATGTAAAGAAAGATAAGATGGTCACAGACTATTTATTTACTGACTTGCAGATGCCCCCGTGGCTTCATTCAACTGAAATGAAATGAACCACAGACAGAACTGGACCATATATTGGTTGTAGTAGCTCAAAGTTCTAGATAAAAGATACAGCTGAAACGTTCAAAGTCATCAAACCCAATGCAGGTTGGTCACTGAAATCCCAGTCTAAATAATTAGCAACAAACAAGCTCTCAACAATCCAACCAAATCCCCAAATAAAAAAGCCCACAGATGTAGAGAATTAAAATTAATTAAATTAAGAAAAGAGTGGTTTTTCTTAATATGCTAGTGCAGTGGTTTTCGAATTGTTTTCCGTGGAACCCTGGGGTTCCCTGATAGGTCATCAGGGGTTCTGCAAAGAGACTGGAGGCAATGGCGGAGTGGGTCAGCAGGTGATGGACCACCATTGCCAGGCTGGTTCACCTGGCTCTGTATCAGCTCACACAGGGCATAAAGTAGGGATTCCACAGCAAAAGAAATTATACAAAAGAGGTCTGTAACTTTAGGAAGTTTGAAAACACTGTACTAATGTTTCACAAGCAGATTACATTACCATTCAATGGCAAGTAATAGTAAATGATCCTAGGATTTTTTGTCATTGCTTGAGCTCAATGCACTATTCCATTTTTGCCCAAAGCTTGAATTGATTGCAGTGAGACTCATGGGTGTTCAAGGAACTGATGCTTTAGTTTTGAATCTGGAACTTGTTCCTTCCAGGTGGATTCTTGAACCCTTGTAGAGCCCCAGGAAAATCGGTTGGGCTTTGCCTGCCTGCAGAGGTTTCCATGAGTATGGTAAGGATGGACAATTGTAAGAAGATGTCTAATCAGTAATCACAGAACTACTCCTGTTTGTTATACCATCATTCTCCTTTCTATGGACCGAAGGGAATTCTTCACATTTAATAGGCAGCAATGTAGTTGATTAATTTTATAGCACCAATAAAAATACAGCAGCCATGACTCAAATACACACAAGAGTTCTAAATAATAATTTTGCTAAGAAAAATTATTTGCAGTCTTAGCTTTTATAATACAAACATGAATTTTAGGATGCTCACTCTGTATAACAGGCCACATTGAAACTGGGTTGTCCAACTAGAAACAGTGATTTATAAAGCCATGCAACTGATAGGTGTATTTTAAAAATAAAGGTCATGAAAGGTAGGAAATGGAGGGAAAAAAAAGAAAACACCTAGAGTTAGGATTAATCTTCACTACTGAATTTGAATTCAAGCAATCATGCTGCAAACCACTCCCAGTGTTCCAGAGAACATGGTGATGCACCCTCTTTAAAAGGCCATAGTTTCATAGTTTCATAGTTTCTAGGGTCGGAAGGGACCTGAGCAGATCATCTAGTCCGACCCCCTGCCATGGCAGGAAAGAGTACTGGGGTCAAACAACCCCAGCAAGATGTTCATCTAACCTCCTCTTAAAAACCCCCAGGGTAGGAGCCTGCACCACCTCTCTTGGAAGTTGTTTCCAGACCCTAGCCGCCCTGACCGTGAAATAGCGCTTCCTGATGTCTAACCTAAACCTACCCTCTGCCAGCTTGTGACCGTTATTCCTGGTCACTCCTGGCGGTGCTCGGGGGAACAGTGACTCCCCCAATGCCTGCTGATCCCCCCTGACTAGTTTATAACAGGCCACAAGATCCCCCCTCAGCCTTCTCTTTTGGAGGCTGAACAGGTTCAGGTCC